CTAGAATGTAATGTTTTACCAGCTCCTAGAAGACATTCTGAAATACAGGTTTACTAATGTTAAGTAAAAGCCTAATTAGGATATTAACTAATAATAATAAATAACTTTCTCCATTAAAATCAGCAATTAAAGCATTCACATTCTTTTGTGTGTCATAAAGGCTTTATTATTACACACACAAATGGCATTTGTTAGCAGAAGACCCTGTAACACTTAACTGCATGCAATTATTCCTAGCCAAAGAGAAAAGGCTGTTATTCTAATGATATAAATAACACACTGAATGCGCTCCTGCCAGGAAACGCAGGATCATTACTCTTTTTAAAAAGGATTTCAACACTATATGGAAATTTCTTAATAAGTAAGAGCCCACTGTGTAGAATCACAGAAAAGTCCCTTCCTCCCTGATGAACTACCTCAGGACCCTTATAGAAAATCATTACATTTTATTATTAAGAAGCAATGTCAGACCAAGTTAGCTCCTGGCCTGGCAAAATGCATGAGCTTCAGGACTTCAAAGTAGATATACAATCTCCAGAAAAGGCCTTGCTCCTTTCTACAGTACAATCAATTTATAGCCAGCTCCAAAATATATCCTAATATACAGTGCCTTGAAAGATTATTCATACCCCTTGCAATTTTCCACATTTTGTCATGTTACAACCAAAAACGTAAATGTATTTTATTTGGATTTATATGATTGACCAACACAAAATGGCACATAATTGTGAAGTGGATGGAAAATAATCAGTGGTTTTCACATTTTTTTACAAATAAATTCCTGAAAATTGTGGCGTGTGATTCATGTAATAACTAACTCACCTACCGAACAACTCCTTTCAGCTCCTCTGTAGTACAGAAGGCAGGCTCTGTGAATTCTGTGACACCACATTGCCTACTCACAGGGCAATTTTAAAAACGTGTCACATAATTCAAGGCAGTAAAGGTATGAAGATCATTCCGATTAATGGGAGTGGTTAGAAATACATACTTCAACATGGAAATAAATATATGATTTTACATTTTTAACAAAAACAGTTTTACAATGACTATACACCGTACAATCTGATTGCACAATATCTGTACAAATTCCTTTACCAAAACTATGTAATGTTTTTCAAGTCGAACGTAAGTTCACGAATGGTAAGGGCGTTCGTCGGACTACTCACCCACTGCACCCCGAGAGTGCATTGTGATTGGCCAAAGCAACAGGTTAGGTGCAATGCTTTGGCCAATCACAGCACATGAACACATCACAAGGGGCTGGGTCACCTCGCCCCCTTGTGACGTCATCACGGTGTTTCAGATCTGTCATCCCAGCACAGCTGTCAGATGGTGGGAGCTAACGTCAAGGCTTTTCCCCCCCCTTTTTTCGGGTCGGTGGTGGCGGCGGGCATTGTGATTAACATTGGATCTACCTCAGGGGACATTTTTTTAAAACTTTTGTTTTTATCCGCTTCCCAACCGCCCTATAGTAGAAATACTGCTACAGGGCGGCACGGGTGTGCAAAATCACGTATATATACGTGATTTCACATTTCTGAGTAGGGGGCGCGCGCCTTACCCACGCTGCCATTCGTGGCCGTGGCTGTCAATCACCGGGTCCCAGCCAGTGATTACTCGCCGACACCCAGTGATTTCTGAGGATCTCTAACGGGGAGAACTGTTTTGTTTACTAACAGTTCTCCTCCCTGTCAGCTTGGGCATACTGCTTTGGATGGCTGTATCCAGCACAGCCATCCAAAGCAGTGTGACTATAATGAAGCACACTGACACTCCCAGCACACTTAACCCCTTGATCGCCCCTCATGTTAACCCTTCCCTACCCAGTGCCATTAGTACAGTGTCAGCGCTTTTTTTTTTTAGCACTGATCACTGTATTGGTGTCAATGGGGATGTCAGTGACACAAGTCAGTTCCCCCCAGTGTCAAAATGTCTGCAGCAGTACCGCTACAAGTCACTGATCGCCGCCATTACTAGTAAAAAAAAAAATCACAGTATATATACCGCAATTTGTAAACACTATAACTTTCATGTAAACCAATTAATCGACATGTATTGGGATGTTTTTTGTCAAAGACATGTAGCAGAATACATTTTGGCGTACATTTATGAGAAAATTTAATTTTCTAAATTTTTTTTACTGGACATGTTTAACAGCAAAAAGTAAAAAATATAGTTTTTTTCTCAAAATTGTCGTTCTTTTTTTTATAGCACAAAAAATAAAAAAATTCCCAGGCGATCAAATACCACCAAAAGAAAGCTCAATTTGTGGGAAAAAAATGACGTAAATTTAATTTGGGTGCAGCGTTGCATGACCGTGCAATCGTCAGTTAAAGTAACACAGCTCCGTAACGCAAAAAATGGCCTAGTCAGGAAGGGGGGGGTAAATCCACAGGAGGGCAAGTGGTTAATAAAGGGCTTGCCAAAGACTGTCTTCTGTCATTTTTTACACTACTTTTTTTTGTGAATGAGTAGCAGTACCATGTACCCCATACTTATTCACATGGGGGTGGTGGGGTTTTGGATCCCCCTGTTAAAGGGGGCTTCCAGATTCTGGTAAGCCCCCCACCCGCAGACCCCCACAGCTACCGGACATGGTTGTGGGAAAGAGGCTTTTGTCCCCATCAACATGGGGACAAGGTGCTTTGGGGGGGAGACCCCTGCCACAAAGCACTTCCCCCATATTGAAGGCATGTGGCCTGGTATGGTTCGGGAGGGGGGGCCTGCTCACTCACCCCCTCCCCCCTTTCCTGACCTGCCGAGCTGCATGCTCGGATAAGGGTCTGGTATGGTTTTTGGGGGGGACCCCGCTGACAGCTAGGACATTAAAGAATGTTTTTACTACTAAGACACCGCATTACTTAATAATATAACTCATGCGGTATTATCATACTCAGATGCGGTAAGATACCGCTTAGTGAATTGTCCCTTCTGTTTGTAGTTTGCAGTCGAACTTTCGTTAGGTTCAAATGGTAAACCACAAATCGAACTGGGGGGGGTGTTCAGCCCATCACTACTGCTTAGTTTATTGTAGGTCTAAGGGTTTTTTTTACAAGTAGATTGTACTATAGTGTATATTTAGGCTTAGACTGGGTTTCACTGAAATAGCTGTTGTCTGGCAGAGTACATTATAGCTTCAAATTCTAAATTGCCTGAATGTGTGCTAGTTCAGCTATTTGAATGTAATCAATCAAATGTAAAGCCACAGTTTTTTAAAGTGCTAACAGACCATCAATGATACTGTGGAATCCCATAGGCCATCTGAAGAAACCTCAACATAATGCAGTGCAATGAAGTGAAACCAACTCTTCCATTAATAGACTAAAAGAAAAACACTGGTGCAAATCATCTGTATTTTTATATTTAAATCATATTTTAGAGACTTTTAAGACTCTGAAAAATGTAAATTTATGACTGTGGCAATAATAGTACTTTTAAAGAACCAGTTTGCAATCACCACTATACAGACTGATAGCCAAATCTAGTAAATCTAGTGACTACCATACATTTAATACTAGTCAATGATCAAACTTAGTTAAAGCAAATGTACATTTATATTTACATAGAACATAATTAAAAATAATAATCATAATATTAATATTAAAAAAGCCACAATACCCTCTTTGGTTACAATGGCCTCCATGTATCTAGCATTTCACATTTGAGAATAAGCAAAATCAACATTCATGTTAGTGTAGGAGCCTGCATAATATTGCTGCTGATGTCATTGCTTGCAGGAGTTATACTGCCACTGGATAAAATGTACATGACTCCAGGAAAAAGTTCCACTCATTATAAATCTACTGTATTCTTAATACAAACCTTTCCAACCTTCCTTTCCAATGTTTACAGAATTCACTGACAAATATGAACTATTCATGTTAAAAAAAGTGAAGTAATAGATTATCAGTAAATCTGAAAATATTATATCTAGTCCCGCAAATAAGTCAAGACACCACATCCCATATATAAAGCTAGACACAAAAAGACTGAACATCAGGACTTTTAAAGTGTCAAAAATTGCAAGTGAACAGTCTCCAAATATAGTGTACAAACTTCACTTTTATTTGACTAAATGTAAAACTACATGTCAAATGCATATTTCCAAATTAGACATAGAGACATGATATATTGGAACATCATACAATATGCCCTCATACTATCACCTTTTAACCATCTACTAAAAATGTTTATACAATCTGCAGTTTTATACTTTCAAGATATACAGTATTATATTGCCAAAAGTATTGCGATGCCTATATTCCTGCCTTTACACACATATGAACTTTAATAGCAACCCAGTCTTAGTCCGTAGGGTTCAATATTTAACTGGCCCACCCTTTGCAGCTATAACAGCTTCAACTCTTCTGGGAAGGCTGTCCACAAGGTTTAGGAGTGTGTCTATGGGAATGTTTGACCATTCTTCCAGAAGTGCATTTGTGAGGTCAGGCACTAATGTTGGAAGAGAAGGCCTGGCTCGCAGTCTCCACTATAATTCATCCCAAAGCTGTTCTATCAGGGTCAGGACTCTGTCAGGCCAGTCAAGTTCCTCCACCACAAACTCGCTCATCCATGTCTTTATGGACCTTGCTTTGTGCACTGGTGTGCAGTCATGTTGGAACAGGAAGGGGCCATCCCAAAACTGTTCCCACAAAGTTGGGAGTATGAAATTGTCCAAAATGTCTTGGCATGCTGACGCCTTAAGAGTTCCCTTCACTGGAAATAAGGGGCCAAGCCTAATATGTGAAAAACAACCCCGAACCATAATTCCCCTTTCACCAAATTTTGCACTTGGCACAATGCAGTCAGGCAAGTACCGTTCTCCTGGCACCTGCAAAACCTAGACACGTCCATTGGATTGCCACACCGAGAAGCGTGATTTGTCACTCCGGAGAACATGTCTCCACTGCTCTAGAGTCCAGTGGAAGTGTGCTTTACACCACTGCATTTGAATGCTTTGCATTGCACTTGGTGATGTAAGGTTTGGATGCAGCTGTTCAGCCATGAAAACCTATTCCATGAAGCTCTCTCTATGCATTGTTTTTGTGCTAATCTGAAGGCCACATGGAGTTTAGAGGTCTTTAGCTATTGGACAACTGTCATTTAAAAACATTGGCGTGGGGAGTTCCCCTCAAAATCCATACCAGACCCAAAGGGCTTGGTATAAATGGGAGGGTGGACCCCACGCAGTTATTAAAAAAAAAATGGTCATTTTACGTGGCCTACCACTTTGTGGCTGAGTTGCTGTTTTTCCCAGTTGCTTCCACTTTGTTATAATACCACTAACAGTTGACTGTAGAATATTTAGTATCAAGGAAATTTCAAGGATGGACTTATTGCACAGGTGGCAACCAATCACGGTACCACGCTTGAATTCACTGAGCTCCTGAGAGAGACCCATTCTTTCACAAATGTTTGTAGAAGCAGTCTAGGTGCTTGATTTTATACACCTGTGACCATGGAGGTGACTGGAACACCTGAATAGTTTTGGCAACATAGTGTATTTTGCCAATCACAAGTGGAGTGGCAATGGCCTTTTCATGAGTTTCTGCTTTATCATAAAAGCATAGGCACCCATATATATACAGGTGAAACTCGAAAAATTAGAATATTGTGCAAAAGTTCATTTATTTCAGTAATTCAACTTAAAAGGTGAAACTAATATATGAGATAGACTCATTACATGCAACGCAAGATAGTTCAAGCCGTGATTTGTCATAATTGTGATGATTATGGCTTACAGCCCATGAAAACCCCAAATTCACAATCTCAGAAAATTAGAATATTGTGAAAAGGTGCAATATTCTAGGCTCAAAGTGTCCCACTCTAATCAGCTAATTAAGCCATAACACCTGCAAAGAGTTCCTGAGCCTTTAAATGGTCTCTCAGTCTTGTTCAGTAGCAATCACAATCATGGGAAAGACTGCTGACCTGACAGTTGTGCAGAAAACCATCATTGACACCCTCCATAAGGAGGGAAAGCCTCAAAAGGTAATTGCAAAAAACATTGGATGTTCCCAAAGTGCTGTATCAAAGCACATTAATAGAAAGTTATGTGGAAGGGATAAAGTGTGGAAGAAAAATGTGCACAAGCAGCAGGGATGACCGCAGCCTGGAGAGGATTGTCAGGAAAAGGCCATTCATAAGTGTTGGGGACTTTCACAAGGAGTGGACTGAGGCTGAAGTTAGTGCATCAAGAGCCACCACATACAGACGGATCCTGAACATGGGCTTCAAATGTCGCATTCATCTTGTCAAGCCACTCGTGAACAACAAACAACGTCAGAAGCGTCTTACCTGGGCTAAAGAAAAACAGACCTGGTCTGTTGTATGGAGGAAGAATGGAGAGGCACACACTGCAAGATGCTTGAAGTCCAGTGTGAAGTTTCCACAGTCTGTGTTGATTTGAGGAGCCATGTCATCTGCTGGTGTTGGTCCACTGTGCTTCATTAAGTCCAGGGTTAACGCAGCCATCTACAAGGAGATTTTGGAGCACTTCATGCTTCTTTCCACAGACGAGCTTTATGGGGATGCTGACTTCATTTTCCAGCAGGACTTGGCACCTGCCTACACTGCCAAAAGCACCAAAACCTGGTTCAATGACAGTGGGATTACTGTGCTTGATTGGTCAACAAACTCGCCTGACCTGAACCCCATAGAGAATCTATGGGGCATTGCCAAGAGAAAGATGAGAGACATGAGACCGAATAATGCAGAAGAGCTGAAGGCCGCTATTGAAGCATCCTGGTCTTCCATAACACCTCAGCAGTGCCACAGGCTGATAGCTTCCATGCCATGCCGCATTGAGGCAGTAATTGCTGCAAAAGGGGCCCAGATCAAGTACTGAGTACATATACATGCTTATACTTTTCAGAGGTCCGATATTGTTCTATGTACAATCCTTGTTTTATTGATTGCATGTAATATTCTCATTTTCTGAGATTGTGGATTTGGAGTTTTCATGAGCTGTAAGCCATAATCATCACAATTATGACAAATCACGGCTTGAACTATCTTGCTTTGCATGTAATGAGTCTATCTCATATATTACTTTCACCTTTTAAGTTGCATTACTGAAATAAATGAACTTTTGCACGATATTCTAATTTTTCGAGTTTCACCTGTATATAGTTACATGTATGGGCTGCAGGGCGGCTAAGTGGTTAGCACGTTGACCTGGCAGCACTAGGGTCATCGGTTCAAATCCCAACCACAGCACTGCCTTTGCTGTTTTCCCTGTGCATGCGTGGGTTTCTACCTTTGCATGTTTTCCCTGTGCATGCGTGGGTTTCCTCTGGTTTACTCCCAGACCCCAAAGACATGCTAGTAGGATAATTGGCACAGCATGCGTATGAATGTGAGTTATGAACCTTAAATTGTAAATCCCTTAAGGGCAAGGTCTGGTGTAAATGCTATATATATATATGTGTGTGTGTGTGTGTGTGTGTGTGTGTGTGTGTGTGTGTGTGTATAAAGTGCAGCATAACGTGTTGGCCCTATCTATATACCTGTAGTAAATATACCATGAATACCATCATGCATATTTCTCAATGGAAACTGCAGTGAAAATTAAATGCTGCTCCAGTACTGATGTCACTAATATCTTAGTGAACAATGAGGACGTAAAAAATGTAATTCTATAAAATTGCCCCAGAGCCCATAGAACTATATGGGTATAGCCCCATAAGCGCACTACCTTTGCAGTTTGGAAGCAAGCTAGAGCACGTTTTATAAGGGAAAACTCTTTCTCTTTGTATACTCTCCTTTTGGGTAATCCTACTGTGCTGCATCTCCATGAACTCCCAGATCCCCATACTGGGATATATGCTTACAACATTACTTGACAAATTTCAATTAGAGACAGGTTAATACAACTCAAATTCATACATCACGCACACTACACACCACTTAGGCTCTCTAAGATCTACTCATCTAGAGCGGCTACCTGTTATCAATGTGGAGTGGAAATTGGTACTTTCCTTCATGTAGTGTGGCAATGCCCTCAAATTCAATGTCTCTGGACTGAGATATCCCACACTATCAATGCAGTGGGGGGACTCACATTACTGTTGGACCCCCTTAGTTTTCTGCTGGTCATTGTGGATAATATTGAGTCCTCCTTCTATAAAAAATTCTTTATTTTATTTACTGCCTTTTATGCAAGGAAGGAAATCCTTTTACATTGGAAATCTTCCACGACGCCGACCCAAGGAGGCTGGAAGACGTTGCTTAATGAGATCCGTCCCTTATAAACTTACAAATGCAAGCTGTTTGAAAAATTTTGACAACGTTTGGGCATGCTGGATAGACGCCCAAGGATTAAAGTGGAACTTTGGTCAAAAAATTATGTCCTGCTAGATCAGTTACTGCTGGCCGCTTTTGCAGGTATAGCTATAGTATGTATAATAGTAAAAATAAGTGCCTATACTGTTTAAATCTAGTAATACACGGTCTCATCCTGCTCTGCACATGCTCAGTTGCTCTCTATTATAGGCACTGCTGAATTTGTAGAGGTTGATCTGCTGACAGCTGCACATGTTATGACACCAGCCATTTAATGGTTTGACAGTTTGGCTGAGGAAACAAACAAATGTGACACTTAGCAATCCCAGCATTTCAGAAATGTAACTGTTTTGAAACTATTAAATTGATGGGGTTAGTTCTACTTTATATTTTTCTGCTCAGGGGCTCTGGGCTTCAGCAAAATGACAGCCTCCAGCAAGAAGATAAAGGAGCAATGTTGGAGGCAATTTACAGCACACACTAATTTTGGTAGCATAATTATTAAAGTGGAATGTATGTTCCTTGTTAAAGAATATTATTTTTTATCTAGTTGTTATGGGTAAAGTTCCGCTTTAACTATTGATGGGTGTTAATTTCATTTACACTCCTTATTTTGACTATGCTTGTATTTCTATGATGCTAGTGTCAACCAGTGCAATTATATTTCACCTCCTCACATTGGTACTTCTCTTTTGGTTAGAGCTGTATCTGTTCTTGGCCATATGCCTTTATGACCTTGTCTTTTTCCTTCCTCCCATACCATGGCAAGTCTTACTATCCGTACAACTTTGGAAAGACTTTCCTTCTCTACTTGACCAATGCTTCAATACTTGACCAATGTATCTGTGCCTTACTGACACTTTTAAAGCATGTTTTGAGATTGAATGCAGTTGTTCCTTGTCGCTGATCATTGCACCTTCCTTTTTTTGCTACGGTACTGTTGTACCTGTGTAACTCCTGATAAAAAACAAATATATTTTTCACTGATAAAAAAAAATGTCAGTTGTCTGTATATAGCTTTTCAAGAGCTGTATCTGTGAAAATATTTTACAATTGTGCTTTTGCTTTCTTTAAATTTGCCTCTAGTGATCTATTGCAGTGCACTTTTGATTTAAAATTGTTGCACATATTTTGCAAAACAAACATAAAACACTGTTTCTTTATATATGCATATTAAAAAAAGGTAAGAACTGCAAGTATACCAGCATCACCTCTCCATTATTTCAGATAAATCCTGTACATGGTTTGCTGTATATCATACTCTACAGTGGACACAGTGTAAGGCTTTAGCACACAAACATGTGCATACATTTGTTATTGGAATTAAAGATACATATAACATATGTACAAGATCCCTTTGACTGAAACTGACTATAAGGTCACAGCAAGCCTGGTAAGCAGCAAGTTAAATCTCACACGTCCCCTGTCTTGCTGTGATATCTGTGCAGCGCCAGTTTATTAAAGGATATAAAGTCAGCTCAAATGCTGAGTGATGTATAGGAAGCTCTGTAAAGCTCCATCTGATGGGGAGCTGGGGACATTAACATTCCACTCATGCTCCTCACCAATAACTTCACATCACAGTAAAGGGCTGTAATCCTTGTAGAATATATTAGATGTTCACAGCTAAACCTGGGTTTTCTTTATGATCATTAGTTTTCCGAGGGTGCAGGCAATCACACTCATTTGATGTGTTTATATCTATTGATTAACAGCAGCCACTATCACATACATAATATAGGAATAAATGAATTCCTGGCCAAATTCTTACAATCTACGCACCAAAAAAAAGTCACATTGGGAAAATTGTATTACCAACTGAAGAACAAAGAGAGGCTTTTTTTTAAATCAAGTTTTCAAGTGCATCTTACTAAAGTAGAAACTAGTAAGCTGGCACCAAGAATTACATACAGGCACCCTTACCTTTAGTTATCTTCATGGTGCTTTTTATGACCAAAGCCTGGAAAACTAAGCTATGGGTCTTCTCTATTGCATGCTGCAGTATTGGTCAGTGAAGCTGCTCATCATACTAAATGAACAACTGTCATGCAAAGAGGTGGGAGGTTCTTGATAGTTTGACTGACTAAACTCTAATCTGTATGTGCATAATAGAGCGCTTCAAGATCTGAGGCACCATACATGTTTAT